CAGCAGTGGGTGCTGTTTCCTTCTGCTGTGTATAGATACAGTCACTATGAGTCAGACCGGAAAACAAAATGATGTAGGGTTTCTGAGGCTGCAAATCTTTACGGGAGCAGACAGCCTCTTATTTCTCCCAAGGAGCGGCTGGTAGATTTGAACTGCTGACTTTATAGTTAGCAGCCCCCTGGACTTAGTAATCCAAACCACCCCTTGGTTAGCCATGGAACCTGAGTCATGCACAGGATAGGGGCGGCACCAGCAGGCACGTACCTGGAGGGAGAGTATTGGCCCGCTGGCCTGTGCGTCCCCTGTCGGCACCTGGTGTCCTGGAGTAGCTCGAGGGGACATCTTAGAGGCCCTGTGGTCACTGCTGGCATCCCGTGGCCCCTGGGTCACTTTCCGGAGTATGTCTCTCTCTATCATCTCCCTCCTCTCGCGACGCAGGGCTCTGAGGTCCTCGCTGGACAGTGAGGTTGCACGTGGAGCCCCCAGGGCTAGGGAGGTGGGGGCTTCTCCCTGCGGCCCTGAGATGTAGCCCTCCTTCCACCTGGGGCTCTCCTTGGAGAGCCTCAGAAGAGAGCTGGGCTCACCGTGGCTCTGGAAAGGGCCTTGGGGGTCACTTCCGCTCTGGGGCCTGGCTGTCTGCTGGCTTGTAGGTTCTGCCATGGCTGCCACCAGAACTGGCTGCCGGGAGAAACGGGTCCATGCTTTAGAACCCAGAAAACCCAACACACTGCTGGTGAGCCGATTCCGGCTCAGAGGCGCCCTGTAGGGCAGAGTAGAACAGCCCCTGTGTGTTTCTGAGGCGGCCATCATCCTTATGGAGGTCAGACTGCTACACCTTTCTCCTGCTGACCTTCTGTGGTGACAGCTGAGTGGTGGCTCATGGGTACAGGAGGCCAGGGTTCGATTCTTGGCCAGTACACCTCATGTGCTGCACCGCCACCCATCGGTCAGTGGAGGCACGTGATGTGTGGCTGTGATGCTGAACGGGTTTCAGCGGGAGCTTACTGAGGCACACCAGGAAGAAAGGCCTGGCCACTGGTGTCCATCTGTGCATCGGACAGTGGCAACCCTATGGAAGTCAACGGGCAGACCCACAACTGGTTGGCACAGGGTGAGGCAGCCTTTTGACCTGCTGTGTACAACAGCAATGGATTTGACAGTGGCAACGCACCACAAAAGAAGCCCTGGTGGTGCTGTGGGCTAAACACTGGGTTGCTCACCATGAGGTCGACGGTTCAAAGCCACCAGGGGAACGATGAGGCCATCTGCTCATGTTCGTCTCGGGGACCCCAAGGAGCTGCTCTCGTCTGTTGGGTAGGGTGGCGATGAGCCAGAACTAACTGGATGGCCAAGGGAGCAGGACAGATGGTAGGCATGTCCTCATGGGAAATGACCCAGTAGAGATGAGCAAAGGGCAGCCCCTGGAGGGGTGCAGGCTCTGGGAAAGGGAAGGTCATCCGTCTAAGGCAGCACCGGTCTGTGCGAAAAGGGAGTCCGAAAAGCTATGAGATCAGAATTGACTCCATTCCGCTTGGCTTATTCCCTTGATCTCCTGTTTATTGCTTCACCTACTGGGTGAAGGGTTGTGTTGGGTCACCTGTGTTCAACAAAACAAGAGAGGAGCCTGCAGGAGAGCTGCCTAGGTGATTGTGGGAAAAACCACCACCAAAAAAAAAAAAAAACCAAAAACACAAACAAATCCACCTGAGCTCTCGCCAACCGAGGGTCACCTCAGACAATCACCGGGCCTGGCTGAGGGGTGCGTGGCTCCTGTCATGGGGACAGGGAGCAGCAGGGGTTGGTTTGGGACAGCAGTCTCCTTCCGGTGCGCACGCCCACTGGGTCTGGGTAATGGAGATGGTGGGACACTGGGCGCTGGGCTGGGCTGAGGGGACTGGAAGTGGAGCTGGTCCAGTCCTGGGGCATTCACATCCCTCTGCCCCATTTCGGCTTCCAAACCAAAACCAAACCCACTGCCAGAGTTGATTCCAACCCATGGCGACCCCCTTAGAGTGTCCGAGTCTGTAAATCCACCTGTCATCAAGCCAAATCTAGTACACGGCATCCCCTGCGTGATATTCCAGCCCTAGGTCGCCAGGCTTTTCTTCTGAGGTGCCTCTGGATGGGCTTGAATCTCGTGTGTGTGTGTGTGCGCGCGCGCTTTCATGGTGCACTGGGTGAAAGTTTTCTGGAGGGCAGGCTGGCTTCCCATTCAACAATTCACACGCAGCTTGTTTCATGCCTGGATCTCCACCCCCACAGGGAGGCAGCGAGTGCGGTCCCCACTTCCTCCCTGTGCTGCTCACCTCCTTTCCTTCTTGCCCTCTGGACTCTCCCCCTGGGAAAAAGCTGCCCCTTTGCTCTGGGATGGTTGGCTGAGGGGCCTCATCAGCCGCAGCCGCCCAGCCCCCAGGTGGGCCATCACCGGGAGGGTCCTCAGCCAGCTCCTCCGAGAGGTCAGGGATCAGGGCGGCTGGATCTCGCTGGAAGATGAACAGCTCGTCCTCCTCACAGCCATTCTGTCCGGTGGGGCAGGGCAGGGAGAAAGGAGGGCTTTAGGGGGCTGGCAGGCCTCATTTCACTACACTTCACAGAGACTGCGCTTCGTATAAAGTCATGCTTCCCAGGCGATGGGTGCCATCCCCCCTTCCCCCCTCCCCCCGCCCCACCATCTGTGTTCATTTGGTCATTCCAGCAACCCTTCACCCTTTCCCAGGATGCTAGTGCCCCCTGTGGGGACCACAGCCTGGTGCCAACATCGCTGTCCTGTGCCCTACTCAAAAAACAACGAGCTTTCATGGAGCAGACGGCTGCCGCGGCCGCCGCCTCCCCCCCCACACACACACACACACTCCGCAGAGCGCCTGGTGGGCTGGAACCACTGGCCTTCCGGGGAGCCGGCTCAATGCATCACTGCCAGTGCTCGAGAGATGGAACATGCACTGGAAAATTTTACAAATTAAAAAATGTTAAACCTGCAACTTGTTTTAATCGCAAGATCCATGCTTTATTGCAGCGGCCTGGAACCAAACTGGCAGCATCTCTGAGGTCTGCCCGCCAGCCCTCCAACTGACCCTCCCTCCCCACAGGGCCAGCCTGCCAAGACCCAATTCTGGCTCCTAGCACAGCCTAGGGTTCCATTGACTGAGCCATGTGCTCAGCAGCACCCCCTGCTGGCTCTGATATGCAAGGCTCTGGGTTCTGCAAGGCCACTGAGGACACAGGACACTGATCTCCATCAGGCCCACCTCACAGGGTCATCTTGACAATGGTGGGGCACTTGCGTCTGGTCACCATCTCCCCGATGGCCTCCCGTGCACTTTATCTTTTTGGTAAGTCCTTGAGGTACCCTGCCACCATGTGGCCACCCCAATTTCAGGGCTTTCAACTGGTTCAGTAATTGCTGTCATAACCCAGGGCAGCGTACCCTTCAGGTAGCAACCACGTCTATTGTCCGCAGTGTTTTGTTGTGGAGCAGGAAGCTCACTGTACTCCATTCAAAGATGGTACCCAACCGGGGCCCCTCTGGAGTCCTGCCAAGAATCTGGTCTCCCAGTCAGGCTCCGGAGACATTCAGGGGGGCAGGGCTGTGGCAGCCATTACGCAGGGCAGCACTGTATTTATCAGCAGGGCTCTGGAGTGCAACATGCCTCCACAGCCCTGAGGCTGGCCGCCATCTTTGAGTGGGGTACCGCTGTGTACTTTCTTCTGCCATCAAAATACTGCATTGCTACGTGGCTGGTATGTGGCCCTTGTTGGTGATAATAATAACAGAACTGCTTTGAACTGTCCCTGCCCTGCTTCTTAGAAAACTGAGGCTGAGGGGGTTCGAAAGCGCTTGCTTTGGCAGAACTGGGGTTTGAACCCAGACAGCTTGGGGAGGCCAGCCCTTCACTCTCACAAGATATTCTTGCCTGTGTATTGTTTCTACAAAGCAGCAGCCGGGGGTGCTTGCCAGGACTTGGGAGGTGGCCAGGTGCAGGTGGCTCTGTGCCTGGGAAAACTCCCTGGATCGGGAACTGGCATCCCAATCCCAGATCTGACCAGGACTGTGAGGTTTGAACCAGTCAAAGGAAACAGGAGAACCAGGTGTGCCGGCCAGCCAAGACCACAGGTAACAGCTCGTTAGCAGTGGCCCGGTGTACTGCTCGGTTCCCAACCTTCTGATGGGCCAGGATGCACGCAGCACCCCGAGTAGGGTGGTCAGCCCTGGAGAAAACTATTTCCAGGTGGGGCTTCTGAGCATGGAAGTGACCCTTGAGGAAGAGACGCCCAGTGAGCAAAGCAGAGAATGTGGGGCTCAGAAGGAAGTCAGGGAACCTGGCTATAAGTATGACCAGAGGGTGTAAAAGGGGATGTGTGTTTTCAGGCCAGAGAAGCAGCCCCCAATAGGACTGTGGCCAAGCTGTGGACGGCTTCTGACTGGTCACTAGAGGAGGACTGGCAGGGTTCTGCTCACCGAAGAAGAGTCAGCATCCGAGTCCAGGGTGGGGATCTGCTCCTTGGCAGCCTGGAGGATGGCGTCCCAGGGATGGCCCAGAGGGGGTTTCACGTCCCTGGACACCATGGGGTCCAGGTCCTGGGTGCTTCTCAGCATGTCGTCCTCCAGGAAGCCCTGGGGAGGGGAGGACACAGGGGGAGGGGAGACAGGGCTGGGTGGCTTACTCTGCCTCAGTTTCCCTTCCTGGTTCTGCAGGGTTCTGGCACAAAGAGCCAAGCTCTGTGCTTACACTGCTTATCGCCCCAGCAATGCAACATCAGCCACACCTGTGGTTTTATGGTTCCTGGTGGTTGTGAAATATGGTACAAAGGAACAAGTGAACTTACTTGTAATATTTTAAGTAACCTGCTATATTCTGCAGGACAATGAATCATTTCACGTGGCTCTTCTAGCCATAATCTCTGTAACTCCTGCCAAACAACTTTGTCCTGATGGATCTGGGTTCAAGAAAAGGTGAGGAGAAGACACTGATAGGATTCAACTGTGAGTTCCTATTAACAGGGTTAATTGTGATGGCCAACCTGCTGCGTATAAAATGAACCATTTTGGAAGTAGAAGGAGAGGAGTTTTCACTACCAGCAAGAGCCAGGAGTGGAGCACATACTCTGCACCCGGAGATCCCTGATGAGTGAACCTCCTGGATTCAGGAGAGAGCTGCGCCATCAGAAGAGTAACACAGGAACAGCAGCAGCAGCAGAACCAGGAGCCAGAGTGTGAGACAGAGTGGTGGACTTCCCAGCCCACAGAGCAAGTAACGCTGAGTCCTTTTGAGCAGTTGGGCTATGGAGTGCCTCAGAGCACTTCATTTTGGAGCTGGGCCGGAGCTGCATGCCTTCTGTTCGAGGCTTACAGTGGAGCGGACAGTCTTTGGGCATTTACTAGCAGCCTTAAAAGAATACGGTAACAAGTCCTTACTGAACAACTTTATCCTGACCACTTCTCACCTGCATTGCAACCTGTGAACTTCTGTAAGAAACCCCATACCTGGGAGCATTATCTGTGAATTCTGTGTAACCATGGCAACAAACGACAGAACGTATCAGAGAGGGATGTATGTGCGAGACGGGAAAATTCAAAATCTTGCTCTAACATGCACACAAAGTCTACAGTCGATAAGATGTTTTATAGGCTTTTACATTTCTGTACTCAGGCTTGGAAACCTGCTTTATATTCAGTCACAGCAATCTAGACTTGGATGCAGCAGCCACGTGGTGCATGGCACCTACCTTGGACAGCATGGGTCTAGATCATGAGCTCCCCTGGGCAGGGTCTTATTTCTCTCTGGAGCTTCCGCTCCAGTTTTGTAAGCGCTGAGTTCACGTTTGATGAATGGATGCAATGTTCATTCACACCAAACTCCCTGCCGTGGAGTCAGTCTGACTCTGAGCCACCAGATGGGACAGGGTAGAACTCCCCCTGTGGGTTCCTGAGACTGTGACTCTTGACGAGAGTAGAAAGCCTCCGCTTTCTCCTTTCAGAGCAGCTGGTGGTTTTCAAACTGCTGACCTTTTGGTCAGCAGCTCAACACGTAACCACTCACAAAACCAAACGCACTGCCATTGAGCCCGTTCTGATTCATAGTGACCCTGCAGGATGGATGTCTCTGGTTTTGTAAATATTTACAGGAACAGACAGCCTCGTCTTTCTCCCTTGAAGCAGCTGGCAGGTTCAAACTGCTGAGCTTGTGGTTAAGCAGTCCAATGTGACCCACCAGGGGCCCTCATTTCCGTCACAAGTTTTTAAAAATTCTGATCCTTGGGTCTGACACGGAGGCTGTGTGAACATCACCCCACTTCATCCTCAGAGCAGCCAAACTATGCCCATTTTACAGATGAGGGGACTGAGGCGCTCCAGGGAGTTACATGACTTGCCGAAGATCTCAGGTCATAAATGGCGAACCAGAGCTTCCGTGTAAACTGCAAGAGACAAAGGATGGGGCTTTTTGTGTCTCTTCTGAGCTGGTGGAGGGAGGCCAGTGGGCGCAACTCTGACCTGAGGCAACCATCGGGGACATGTCCGCTACATACATCAGGGTGATTTTTGGAGCCACGGTTCTGTTGTCAATTCAGGATGCAGTCATGCACAGGACAACTGAATCACAAGAGAGAGGGGTCTGCCTGAGATGGCTTGAGTCCTTCTTCCGATGGACAAGGAGAGGAAACAGCAGATGTGAGTAGGGGCACAATATGTACAATGGCTCAGAGGAGTGACCATACAGTGAAAACGGGCGGGAGTCTGGAGGTTCCTGAACACCAGACCTAGGAGCTCCGCTCATTCAGGGACGAGAGTTAATGGAGGCTTCTGGAAAAGGACGCTTCAAGGAAGTAGAGTCTCTGAATCCGTACTCTCGGTCCACCTCCGATTTGTAGCTGCAGCCCGTTAGCCCCACCCCCATGGCCCCGCCCCCGCCAGCCACAGGGCGGGCGGTTGTTATGACAACGAGACGCCAACCGTCTTTGGGCTGTGCTTTAAAATACAGCAGCGGGGCAACAGAAAAATAGATCGTCTTATCCTGCCGCCGCTAACTTCTGCGCGGCCCCTGTTTTCCCACAGCTCCATGAACTCCAGACCTTTACGGTGCAGTAGCCGCAGCCGGGTCTACTCACCTCCGGCCCCCGCCTCCCTTCCCTGCGCGGTCCTGACAGGGATATAAATAGCCTCCAGTGCGTCCTTCCGGTCCCGCTCACCGCCTCGGGCTGGGGCGCAATTCCTGGGGTTATTGCCCCCTCTCGACTCCCATCTCAGGAGAGTCCGACCCCGCTAGACTTCCAACTCCGTTTTCTCCCGCTCCTCTCCCGGGACCTGGCGTGTCCGGCTTCTCCTGCAATGGGATTGGTTGACTGACAGCAGAGAGGCGGGACGATGAGTGCTTTACCTGTTCATTGGCTGCTGTGGGCGTCACTCCGAGAGATGGGAGAGCTGACCGGAAGGTCCGGGCACGGGACGGGCCAATTCCTTAGCGCACGGAGCGGCACCACCGGAGACCCTCGAGCGTCCCGGCGTGCTTCGCGCCCTCTCATAACCACTTCCGGGGCGGGCACCCGGGCTAGCGA